GTACTTGTGATGACGACACGGGACTACTTGTAATTGCGTGTGGCAAATCAATTTTAATATTTATGCGTTGATCAAATTTAACGTTTCCGAAAATGTCGAAACAATTGCTAATTCGCAACCCCTTAAATACGGGTAACACGTCTTCTTAAACGTACACCATAAAATATAACATACCTAATTAAAAAAAACCAAACGGATTTACGAGCCTATTTCACAGAAAGAGGAGGTTCTCGATTCGGAATCGTACACGTTCAACTCCGTCGAATACGCACCGGTTTTGATGATTTTTCGTCAACTGTCGACTACAATAAAGTGAATTCGTCCACGCCGCAGAAACAACACCGTGTGCCCCCCGCGGGACAATTCACCCGCCCGGGCTTTCCACGAGTAAGAACTCGGGGCCCCGGTTCCGGTAAACACTTACCGTCGCACGCCCTCCCGAGGCGAACCGGTATTGCGTGTGTCGCTACCAAACGCACATTATAAAAGACGATTGTCCGTGTACGCGTTAAACGCAACCCAGATAAAGGGTTATACCCGCGCCATTTAGTTTGCGGTTACCTTAAAAAAGATCGGTTCCCGTTATTTCCGATAAGGTCGAATTTCGCAACGCGACCGCGCCGACCGGCCACGATTAAATACTGCCGCCGTCCCGCGCGGTCGCCGGCAAACGAGACGGAACGATGACGTATTTATTTCACGAGCAAGACAGGAGAACCGGATGAGGTTAGGAGGGCCATGCGACCGACGGAGCATTTCCGAGCGTGTATGTGTATGCGTGCACAAACATGACATTGTAATGTGCGTGCGGCGTATGCAATCCGATTACGCGGCAATTTCGTTAAAAACCGTCGCCGCCGTGACGGGCGACTATCGGCTATTGTTGTCGGGCGACACCGCTCGGTTATTGCGCGGCGCACGTTATTGTCACCGTCGTTATTCGCCGCGTTTACGAATACTAAATCCATCGAAAGTATACGCTCTAAACGGGCCGTCCAAATGCGCGACGGGGCCATCGCGTTTTCCGCGTGCGAATATTATCGAGTTAAGACCGGCGGACGCCCGCCCGCCACGCGCGCGCGCCGCCGCCCGCACGGCAATTACGGCGTGTCGTAAATATTGTCGTCGCCGGCACAGTCGGACGTTGCGGCGTTGTCGCTATTGTAGAACGGGGTACACCCGGCGGTACCGTCGCCGGCGTTAGTCATCCGCCGCCGTCGCGCTAGCGGTCCGTCGGGGATTCCCGGGCGCGGGGCGTCGTTTATAATGACAAAAAGTCTATTTTCCGTCTCTTCCCCGGGCACGGTGGCCGCAGCGAGGGCGAGACGACCGAGGCGCCGTCGTTATGGCGGGGCCGTTAAATTTCGACGATTTTTTTTTTTTCTACTAAACTAAAAATTCAAGCGTGGCTGATATCGCATGTTTTTACTCTTGCCGTCTATGCGTGTATGTGCGAACGTAACTATAACCAAATAGTCGGGAAATTGTTTTCGTAAAGTTTTTAGTTCTATTTTTTATATGTTCGATTAAAACGCTATTAGTGTTAAAAGGCGATTTTTTCATTATTCGTATTATTGTTCAGAGTTTTATCGAATTCGTTAGACATATTATTTTGATATCTCATACTACCAATAGTTAACAACATTATCTGGTGACTTGTGTATTATTTTTTCTTTAATACGTTTATGATTTTTTTTTTAATAGTATTTAAATTGAAATCATTTCTATGGGCTATATTATAGACAACATTGAGCTCGTGTTGATAATTACGTTTTTTTAATGGAATACGTTCAAGTCTATAGAATATCGAATTGAAAACCGATATTTGTTGAGAACAAGGGTGATTAGAATCATGTGCTATTATAGCATCGGTTTGTGTTGGTTTCCTGTAAATATTAAAATCAAAATTATTTTTCATTTTGGAAACTGTAAGATCTAAGAAATTTAATTTATTATTCATTTGTACTTCGAGTGTAAATTTAATGATTTTATTTATTTTGTTTAAGTAGTTAACTAAATTTTCTGCTTGTCTATTTGAACAGTGGCGTGTCGAAGTAGGTTTTTAGGGGCAATCGTCTCATAATTAAAATGGGCGAGTGGGTGAGTGGCTGACCAAATATGTTGAATGTTGATTGAGATTGACCATTTCAGAGATCAGAGATGTATAATATTATTAATATATATATATACATTTATAAAGTATCTACTTACGAACATGATAGCCTATATTACGTAAAAAATATAACTAAATAAAGTTTTTTGCTTTAATTATTTGTCGTCCTTACAAATCTATGTTTTGATTGGGTGGGTCGTAATTTGTTTCGATTCATGTTCAAAAATGTTCAGCGTGCCACTGATTTGAACCTTTCAATAAAATGAACGTGTCATCAACATATCTATAATATGCTTTTATATATGAGCTGCATATTTTGTCGTTAATAATATTATTGGTTTCATAATTTCGCGTGTAAATTTCAGATAAAAGAGCACTTAAAGGACTACCGATAGTTAACCCATCTTTTTGCGATTATAATTTATTATTATATTGGAAATAGTTTTGATTAATAATTACATTTATTGATTGAATAATTTCTCGTACTTCGTTTGCATTAAATTTATTACTATGTATAAGTTGAGGTATATATTACCTATTACCTACTAAGTATATAATGAAGACTTAGTTTGAGGGGACTTTACCCCAATTTTTGTCCTGTTTGCGTCAATATGTATGGAATATATACGTATTTACAAACAAATATAACTACCTATATCACCATGAATATAAGTAGGTATAATCATAGAATAGATAAAATTAAAATGGAGTCCCCAAAAATTTACATTGGCTCTTATGGAAGCCCGGTAATTTGAGCTAAAGAGTGCAATCAATATTAACAAAAAGTAGAATAAAAAATAGTTTGCATAGTTTTTTTTTTTCTATTTCAGCTCAAAAACGAAATAAGTCTAGTCATTGCATTTTAGTTATATTTCAATTCAAAAACTTAATATGTGCTTATAATTTGTTTGTATTCAAACTTAAGTTAAAAAAACAAGGTAATTTTATATTTAGATCATTAGGTAAATCAAATATTCGTATCAAATTTGGTAATTTTATCTTAACTTTACAATAAATTCTAAAAATACAGTTCTAAAATTTGATGATTTTTAAAATCTATTACACTCGACAAAAAGGTTTTTTGAGTTGCAGATTTGAACTGGGGCATCAATAACATGGCCGCCGCCATAGCAAATGAATCCGTGACGTCACGTGCAATATTAAAAATCACCGTAATTAGCGAACGTAATTAGTTAATAATTAATTAGTATGTAACTAATTTAAGCCGAAGAAATTGTTTCGAGTTGGATGGTCCTTTAAGGAATAATGTAAAACCTGGTTCATTATTGACTCATTTTTATCCGCAAAATAAAAGTGGACACTTATGTCAATATGCCATCAACAAACTAAATACTCTGAAAATAGATAAACCTGAAAATAATGAATACCCTTTACTTAGGTAAAGAATTTTGAGAATATCATAAATACCACCAATAAAATTAATGTAAAATAGAGGCCAATTTCGGTGCAAAGAAGTTTGTCTGCTTCGTCCAAAAAAAAAAAAAAAAAGGATTTATACCTATCCAAATGATTGCCAAGTTTAAATTATAAAGTAGTAGACATTGAATTACATGTTTGATATTTAGAAATAGTAATATGCTGCCTGACAGTGTAGTTTTTATGGCTGGATTTGTGGGTTTTAATGAAATATATATAAAAAAGAATCAAGACCAGAGAAAATTTATTAATCTTTTAGATGTGGTTAATACATTTTGTTTTTCGGGCAAATATATACAATCAATGTGTATATTTTTTTTTCTAATATTTGTATTGGCTGTTTATTTTTGCTATAGCTTTACCAGTTAGTAGACCATTAAAAAATAATTAATTATAATTAATTAATATATATACAAGTATATGAGGAGTAGTGAATATATTATGATTGATATAATAATTTACAAGGTTATCAATTTAATTGTTCACACTGGATATCTTCAAAAATAGTGACTTTTTATTATATTACATAGGTATCTATTAGTTTTAATGTTTGAAAAAAAATGGAGATTTTGTGTATATTGTTACATTTATTGATGTACACAATTTATTTGTATGTAAAATTGATGATGACAATGATAACTTTTTCAATTTCATTGACAAAGTAAATTTATATTGTTTAACGGGTAACTATTTATTGCATTTTACAGTTGCCAATAATCATTACTACTTACTTAAAATTTATAATCAATGACAAATCATATCGAATGTATTTTTAAACTGTTTTTTTTTTTTCATCTTTTTGGAAAACAATTCCGATTGGTAAATTGCAAAAATTAAATGACATCATAAGAATCAAATCATTATTGGATGGGCTATTCTATAGTGCAAAAGTATTAAAAAAAATAAATAAAGTAAGATATAATGTACAGTTTATTGATTACATAGTTAAAGAGACTGTTCATTTATCTGATATTGTAAGTATCTCTATTGAACTAAAAAAAAGCAAATTATTTTATTTCAATTAAGAAAATGTGACAATTATAATTTATTACACAGTATATTAAATAACCTTGCAGTTAGAGTAGTATATTTAATCTATGCTTACCAATTACTAATAAGTATGGTGGTTTTTAAAATTTGTTTAAAATATGGTAGACATTGATTATAGCAACATTCATTATTAAAATTGTCCACTTATAAAACAATCAAAACATTTGACAATTTTCTTTTAACGACAAAGAATAAATATTCTGTAATAATAGTGTTTATGCCATAGTGATAAAATGTTTATATGATTTACGACATGTAACACAAAACAGATAAAACATATTAACTATAGCGTTATATTGAATTGTGTTTTCTTCATCTTTCTTAATACTATGAATACCGCTAATAATTATGTTAAAAAAAATAAAATATCACATTGTTATCATATTTTTATCTTTAATACCTTACTAATAAATCAAATTAATTATATTACAGTCCTTAAATTAAAATATATGAAATTTACTTTGTTTTAAATGAAGAAGTACTGGTATTAACTCAAAATATTATAGAGTGTACTATGCCCTCTAATGAAACTAATGTACTATAAAATGGAGACATTGTTTATATTACTCCGTATACTGATGTACATAACATCTTTGTTTTGTCGTGTTAGTTGGAATGATGATGAATTTCAAAAACTTACTGATAGTGTATACTCTCATTGTTTAGGTATGTACTTATCTAAAAAATATGTAAAAATTCAGTTTAAATGTCAAATTGTATTTATTATAGGAAACACTATAAAAAGTGAACCTCTAGAATCAAATTATAGGCGCGAAAAGTTGTGTGGATAGATATTTTCATCAGGGAAAGATTATTACAAAAACGAAAGAGGAAAATTATAAAATAGTTTTATTGAATTTGGTTTTGAGGACTCTGTAAATATCACTGACAAAGTTTCACTAGCTATACAACTCTAACAGATTAATTTTTTTAGCAATATAAGTCTATATTTTAAAGTTTTAAAAACTAAACTAAAATGGATTTTTCTTCAATCTTACTTCTGATAAATTAGATCACTATTATATAATAAATTATCTATTTTGAAATTGTGAATTATGTTTAGTTACCTGGTATAGGTAGTATAAAGTAATAAATTAATATGGTAACTTATAAGATGTATTGGAACGTGTATGTAATAAGGGTTTTATACATTTATTTTAAATTTCTATAGGCGAATCCAAGTGTCTTATTAGTTGAACTCAAAGGTTTAAGATCTGAAATATTTGGTATAGAAAGTCATAATTATTTAGATACAGGATAAAGAAGTGATAAAAATTGTAAGGTATATTTTAATTTTAATTTTAATAATGTCTAATATGATTTAAACCTAATTAATATTAACCAAATCTTGGTATTTACCAACCGCTTTTAAAAATATCAATATTTTGCTATAAGCCAAAACATTTTTGAGAACTAAAAACAGCTTACCTTTTATATTTATTACATGGTCAATGATATTATGATAAAATTAACTGTAAGCAAATATATTACATAAAAAAAAAAACCATTTGGTTCCAAAGAATAGGCGTCACTGTAACTAACTTCTCTTGACTGTACCATACTACTATGCCAGGCCGCTGGTATTAAGAGTATTGCATAAGTTAGACATTAATATTATAGATCTAAACACAAAAAAAAAAATAATAATAAAGATACTTTTTATGGTTTCATATCAAAACTTTAAAGGTGTAGGTATGTGTTTAAACCTAGGTTAACTCTGAATTTTTTTGAAATCATATCTGTCATATTATTAACATTTTAATGTAATTATTTACCATTGAAAATTGAGAAAGTGCTCAGAATGAGGTAGTGTAAACCTGTTTATGAACTCAAATATATTTTTATTTTTTAAATCAAATTAGTAAAATATCAAAATTTTTATCATGTTTTTGGCTACTTTACAATCATAAATAATGTAAAAATGGTCGTGGCGTTTTTGAAAAAAAGATTTGGAAAATCAGTTGTAACCCCTTTAATATAAATATTATAAAAAGTTTAATTTTAACTTTTAAACAATTTTTTTTCATTCTTTTTAATGCTTAAACATACATTTAGGAAGTTATTAATTAGGTACCTTTGTACAAAAAATTACCTATACCTATGGATATATTTATAACCCTTTCCACATAGGTATAGTATTATTTTTAATTGCCCACTCTAACACATAGTCTAATGTTTAACTAGTGATCACTTTTCATCTTTATTTGCTAGTACTAAATTAAAAATAGTTGTTAATGAATAAATTTGTTACTTACATAGTTATATCAAATTAATAATTAATGGCCATTTAAAAGTACATAAACACTTTAGTTTGTCTGATATATAAAATTTGTTAATAGATGATCACTGAACACGTTTGGTTAGTTATCTTAGAAATTGTGTTAGAAAATGAATGTTTATGTTGGTAAGAACACCTCTTTATTAATAATTTCTATTGTTTTATTTCATACCTATCATAAATCATCACTAAACAATTAATTAAAAGTATTATAATAATATTCTTCAGGAGTTTGACGATTTAAATGCCGTAACTTTAACTGTAATAGCAAACGACAACAATGTTGAATATTTAAACAAATTAAGTGCGGAGACTATATTAGAAAATACAATTAAAATCAACCATGTGTAAGAAGAATCCTTACAGGTCCTGGGAAGAGAATGTGCAATTGAAGTAATTAGTGTCTTCAATGGTTCATTTATGTCGTACTGTATCAAATTTTGTTTCGCAAAATTCAAAACTTGATTTATAAATTCAATAGACTATTTAAATAAACTAAAATCGTTTAAGGTTTATTATGAGTGTATTAAATAACGATTATTAAGAAATAAAATCCACAGCCATTTTTGATCAATAATACATCATTGTCTAACCGATAGAGAGTATAACATTTTGTGTCCGTTATGCTAAAAAAAAATTGTAACAGTAAATCATTAACTAATAATAATAATAATGATAAGATATTAAAAACTATGTGACCACTTAGTAGAAACTTAAGACGACAAAATTCAAGACAGTATATAAAATGGTTGAAAACATTGAGCAGCTAAAAAAAAGCTCTTAGTTAAGAAAAAAATTAAATTAATAATAATAATAAAAATTAATATCAACTGACAACACATTATAGTAATACTTATAATACACTAATAACAACATTTTAATATTATACGTGAATCTTATATTATTATTATTTATTATATGGTAATATTATGCATTAAATGATTTTAGTTTAAATAATAACAAATGCATTCATTTTAATTGTTTAGCGATTGTGACAAGATTTTTTTTTATCAAGAAAAACCAATTAATATTATTAATTATTATTATTATTATTATAATTTTTAGGAACAGAATATTTTACAAGAATGAAAATATTTATATAATATAATAAAGCAAAAGATTAAAGAGAAGAAACTAACAAAGTCAATTAGGATAAAATGGTAACACGAAAAAAAAAAAAGAAAGAGTAATAATAACAAAAAAATAAAAACGTTTTTTTTTCATTTCTTTGGGAATGTTCAAGAGGAAAATGAGGATAATGGGCGGTAGCGGTGGTGGAGGCATAACAACTTTACAGATAATAATATAATTAATCTAGGACTGTAGGGCGATTGAAACGGGTCCAATCGAAGGTTCCAACGTGAATGGAGTCACCTGGTAAATGAAACAACGATTGCATACACGTACGGGTTTCAGATGACCGAATCTTGGCAGAGGAACCGAATTAGAACTACACCGGGAACAGAATACCTGTAACAAAAGAAAAATTTAATCTCAAGTACAGAATATTAATTTTACTTATCTCACTTTGCCGCAATTTCGACAGTGGTGACGTCTTCGAACCACGGTAAAAATAGCTTTGCACGACATGCACACAGGGGCCTCGTGGTCAGGTACCCAGGGGGGTGGTGTTTCTGCAGTTGTAGATGAAACGTCACCGATCACAGTATCGTCTCTCCATACAAGGGCCTCTTCACCATTTTCAATCATCACTGCCGTTTGGTTGTTTATTCCTGGTATTATATCTGGAATTCGAATAGAAAAATAACATAATCAAAATAACAATAATTATTTCAAAATTATTATTATAATAACCGGTGTTCTGTTGATTATCAGTGCTGCAGTTGGAATTGGACATGAGAAACACTGCCTTGAGTATGTTGCGCAAGTCTCCGGCAAAATTAGTCTGCAGCTGATCGGCCACTCCCGATATGCATACAAATAATCGATGCAAGAGATCTTCGTCAGATCTTTAGACCGGGGGAAAAACAATATGCATTTTGAAAATTATTACATATTTTAACATTTTGAAATATTTAGGTCATATAATTGAGTTTACTTGTAAAATTGTCTAATTTATAAATTCATTATTCGTTCTTAGTATTAGTTTCTCATATTTAGTCAATGGAAATGTTTTTTCAATGTTTATTATCTATTATTATCAATCATTTAATAAGGTTATTGAAAAATTGAATTAAACTGTATACAAAAATATTTAAAATAAATGTTAGATTTAGTTTTGTTCCAAGAGACGAAGAAAATGATATTTCATAAATATTCAATTTTTAATTTTTTTATAAAAATATAAATTATTTAATATTAATTTTTAAAACTAATTTTAGACTTTATTACAGGTTTTTAGACAATATATATTCTAACCTTAGTATTTAATATTATTAGTGCTCACCTAAACTTGGCACGAGCCTTCTGTCGACGTAACGAATAATTATTATTACAGGAACTGTTGGTCGATGTGCTGTCAGTCACGCTCTCATCGCTCTCATCGGCTGATGAAGTGGTACAACTCGAACAACTCGAACACATTTCGTGCTTTTTGATCCTGTAGAAAATAATAAACAGAACTCTATATTAATATTTATATTATTAAAGCTTGAAACTTGATGCATTTTAATATTTTTCAATACGATTAAATACAAAATACCTACATTTTAAATCTGAATCATCTAAATTACCATATAATAAATATGACTTGCTTATGTTTGCTTTACCAAACAAAAAGTACACCTTGGTGACTTTAATGACTTAAAATATTTTCATTTTCACAATTATGATATTTAGATCAAAGTAAAAGGGGAAAAAATTCATAAGGTAAAATTATAAATAAAAAAATAAATGACACTAAAAATATATAAGTACTGATACTAACGCGGAGGACGATTTGGAAGAACTCCTATTGTTGCAGGTCTGAAATCGACAAATCACATTGGATCGTTGTTTGTTGCGCAGTTCTCGCCAACTCTTCGAGTACTTGGGCACAACAACGGTACACTGGCAACTGTTGTTGATCTTGTCACCTGACATGTTCGCCATTTCACTACTGCTGCTACAACTCACCCGTGCCGCGACGGTCTTTTTCCTTCTGTGACGATGACAACACCGACTGGCGGTGGACTGGCACTGGCATTGGACGGAGGAGACAGCGGCAGTGCCAGACGAACCATTTATGTCTGCGGCTGTAGACTTCCAACACTTCCACTCATTACTACAACAGCACACGTGCGATGCGGTACATTCGGTTTGCGTGGAACTACTGGACACGTTCGGTTGTTTCGGGATCACCGGCGACGAGGGCATGTCGTTGTTATTGTTTCCGTTGGAATCCACGACGACGACAACACAGTTTTCGGGATGCTGTTCGATAACGGTGGTTTTTTTTACCAATATTTCTGTCAATGCTTCTGTGGCCGTGGCCAATGATTCAGTTAGATCAGAGTCCGGCACCGAGCCCGATTCCAGGCGGTCGTCATCGTTGATGATGTGACGGCTGGACGTTGTCATTGTACTCGATGATACAGGACTTTTCAGTTCGTTATTCTGGAGATCGTTACGGTTCGATATGATTGCCGTCGATCCAAAGGGTTTCCGTTTCACCGACGACGGATTTTTGTTATTATTCATCAAGTCTTGAGCAGGAAATCCCTTTGTACTGCACCGCTCAATTGTGGTGGTGGTGGTGGTGGTGGTGATGGTGTTCGTTGTCGTGACACTGTTGTCCATCACTAGTTCCGTAGTGCTGGAGGAAAGACATTCCTCGTCACTGGTTTCTTGAGATCTAGAAGAAAAAAAATTATACATTCATTATTATTAGTCAGTATGAATTTTTGTTTTTTAAATACATATATATTTTATATATTATAAACTCACGATAATTGATTGTGGCAGTGGTTTTTTACGGACAATTTATCTTCGAATTTGACTTCATCGGACGAACACAGCATCCTCTCTAGGGTCGAAAGTTCCTTGTCGGATAGAGTTAACAATAACTCTCGAATCTTCATCAATAACGACTGGACCGATACAATAACAAAATAAAATGTATATAGTAATTGTTATTTTTTATAATAAAATATTATCATGTTGACCTGTAGGTCCGACATTAGTAGAAACACTTACTCGAAACGGACGGAACATGTCGGACATGTTGGTTGCGTTTTGGTCGAGGGATAGCGGCGACATGTATGGGTAAAATAATAGACCGGACACGATGGCTAAACGGGGTATGGTAAACATGAGAGCCGGGTCGTAGTCGTCCACCATGTCTTGGGTCAGAAGACCTTCGACGAGCGCTCTGAATGGTATAAAAAGGTACAAGTGTAAAAAAAAAGAAAAAAGAAAGAAGATATTATATTTTAACCGCGAATATAATATTATGTATCTCACCTCTGGAGTGTTTCCGAGAACAAAACGACCACGAGTTGTTGGAGTTCGTACTCGTGAGCGGTTTTGACGGGCACCATGGCGGACACGTAGCGCAATTCGAATTCGGCTAACAAGTGGTCGAACGTGCACAGCGACGCGATCAAGTTGCGAAGACACGGCGGCGTTTGATCGCTGCAAAGGCTCGCGTCCCGCAAGAGCCCGCGGACTTTTTCCAGCGACTTGGTCAGCGCCCGGGCCAACGGTCTCATGGCACCGCTCTCGGCTTCCCTGTTCATTATGCTTGAACCCGCGGACAGACACTAACGAAACATATAATATCCACGCGTTACACACAAACTTACAACTCAAAAAATTAAATAATGAATAAAATGATTAAGTTTTTAAAATAAAAACTAAAAAGTGTCAATCACACATTTTAATTGTTTGGGTAACATAATGAGTAGGCTATATTTGTTATCAGGCTTTTCTAGGGTGGCGCTTATTTTTTGATATTGGATTTTTTTCAGTCTTACCCCCTAAATTGGTTCAAATATGTATATAAATGAAGTATACAAAATTTCATATCGATAGATTAAGTTTAACCCGTACCCCCCAGCCCTCAAAGTTCTAATAGTTCTCAAAGTATTAATAAATATTACGTTAATCAAAAAACTATATAGAACAAAAGTTATAGACAATTTAATTTACTATAAATAATGTCAGAAATTTATTTTTGTAAGAAATGATAACAACGAGATAGCAGTCAATCAATTAAAAAAAACTGTGGTTACTTGAACAGAACCATATATTTGAACTTTGAGGGCTGGGGGGCACGGGTTAAACTTAATCTATCGATATGAAATTTTGTATACTTCATTTATATACATATTTGAACCAATTTAGGGGGTAAGACTGAAAAAAAATGTTATAAAAAAAATCACCTATATGATGAAGGGCCACCCTAGGCTTTTCTGAATCTTTTGTTTCACTCAGCAATAAAGTGTGCAATTAGTTATCACTATGGCAACAAGAAATAATTCATAGAAACAAAGTCAATTTATTACTAATAGTAGTTTTTATTGAGAGATTAACGAATATTGATAGCTAAAACAAAATGGATCTTAAACCGTTTTTGATTATTAAAAAAAAATATATATATATCTTAATAATATATATATTATGTAACTCTAGAAGAAATTTACTAACTGACTAATCTGACTAACTGACTAATATATACAAAAGTAGATGCTCTGCTGTTAGTTTATAAACTTGCTCTGATACTTGGCCGTTACTTGGCTGAAAATGCACTCATCAAGACTCGAGTGACTGCGTGTCGTCATTGTAGGAGCTGGTTCGCTCCCAATGGGAAACGCTGGGTAAAATACTGGGCCCATACATTCCCACAGAAACGCGGAACCGAAATTAACGCATATCACCACACGTATTCTTTAATAATAGTAATATACAGAATACACATTATACAAGGCGCACTACATACAATATAACCCAGAGTTAAATAAGAGAAATCCTTGCGATCATTTAACACTTAAATTCCCAAATAAAGCAATACGATCGTAAATTATTACAAAAAACTGAACCAATTTTACAATTTCTTAACTTACAGGATACACAAGTTTCAATACAGCCACAACGTGTCTATTCCTCAACTAATTTATATATAATTCTACGTTATCTGCGTTCTGTCCTGTTCAGAAAAACGTTTAGTGCATAAACGTTTCCCTTTGCATTTAATAGATAGGTAAGTAGAGAGGTTAGGTTAGGTAGATAAGTTCAATTGAATCTCCCTTACATGTTGTTTGTATTGTAAGTGTGACATCAGGTTCGGGTGAATCCCAATGGCCCAGCGTGACACCATTCCCACAGTGACGCAAGGCAGACGCTTACACACACACGTTATTTAATATACAGGATTATACAGGGCGCACACAACAATGGCAACCGAAAATCTACTACAACCCATCATGTATGATGGGGGCGTACAACTAGTAAATATTCATCTAGAAAGCAGGACAAAATTTAATTCTTTGTCGACATATATAAACCTGATAAACGGTTAAAAGTTATAAAAGTGACAGTTTTGGAGAAATAGTATACGAATCTAGAAAAAGTCATAAAAAGTGCCGAAGTTACAGCCCAGCATACATAAAAAAGAAAAAAGAAAAACAATGTCGTTGGCCGGACTCAAATGTAGAGCACTAGAGCACAGCAACTCAGCAACACAGCAATCAGACAAATTATTGTCCGCATTCGGTTTAAGGTCACGTTCTATATATACATCTAAAATATTATTATCGTCTGAGCAACAATAAACGTATTTATTATGTTTGTACGCTGGCGATTGCGCTTATGAAAATTTATTATTTCGTTTTTTTTTTTTTTATTTATTTATTTATTTTTCTTGTCCGCTCGTGTACAATAAACGCCACCGCGGTAATAAAATAATAACAACAACAACAAAAATATATATTCATAATAATAAATAATAATATAATCACCTCGGCGCCAAACCACAGCTGTCCCGCCAAATTGTCCTGAATCACGTCGTCGGGAAATTTCACACGAAAATCACGACTGGCCCGTTCGCCGGGTATCAATTCGTCCATAATTTTAATGCAAATCGTTAAGACCTATTTGTAAAAAAAAAAAAACAAGCACAATAAATAACGATTTAACTATCGCAATGTGTGTATCTTTGGTCCAAGGAAAAAAAAAAAAAGTGCTTAAGCCGATCATAAATTCTGAGCGAAGCAAGAAATGTATTGATTTTACAATGTTTTGTTTTTCTGTAAACAATTTTTTTACCAGAAATCTTGTTCAGATTTTCAAGTGTAGCACTTTTTCTGAAAGGAAATTTTACTGGGGTGATATTTTAGGAAGATTATTTTTCAAACATATAAAACCGAACTTCGTTTAGAATCGTTTTTCGTTAGCAATGATTAAACGCTGCATACAGATATACATTAAATTTCCTTTACCTTCCGAACTTCACACCTACAGTAGTAGTTAGTAGTAGTAACAGTAGTTTTTGTTCCCTTTATTTTTGGCATATTAATGGCATAAGTAAATTTACAAAATAAATGAAGTGTACTATTAGCATTAGTGGGTAGGAAAAAGTGTATTTTCAAAATTAAATTTGCTTGTAATAGAAACTATGTACAAAATTGACTTCAACACTTCTTCGCTGGGACCGAAGATATATTATGTAATGTGTTTCATCCAAATAGTAACACGAAATATTTCATCCATATGGTAACCTCATTTTTAAGTACGCTCGGTTAGTTACTAAAATACATGTTTTGAGCCAGTTTTCAAAAGTTCAACCTCAATGGTGAGCATCTAATATCTACCTTTGTTTATACGCAATCCTCCTCATTTTTCCGTTTCTTCGACTTCAGATAGCAGTATATTATTTTACAAGCAAAGTTGATCACTATAATATTTTTATGTCTCAAAAATTACCCGAAATATTTCTACTGTTAGTAGAATTTTTTCCCCGTACAACAATATAAGTAGTCAGAATTTTCGTTTTTAAAGAAGTGTGTTTTAAATTTTTAAAAAAATCGAAAACCTCGCATTTTTTTTTGTAATAAACTATGTTCGAAAATTGTTGAGTAGAAAAAAATGGTATTGGTCAAACATATTTTTTTAAAATAGAAGTATTCGAATGCAATGTTAAAAATAGGGTGTTTTAATTCGGAAAATGAAAATTGCACGGAGTATTCAAATGTTCAAAACTGGCTCTTAATTTTTATAATTTCGTTCATTAAAAAAAAAAATCCATTTTGATCCAATTCCATCTGGGCTGTAAATAATTCGTGTAACCGTTTTCGAATCAAAGAATAATTAATTCACGTTCGTATTATACGCACTTTGTCTTGGCATTGTCTCAGGTGATTCACAAGGGCGGTGCATCGCTGCGGGTCTTTTTTACCGTCGAAACTGTCCAGTTCCGCGGCGACGGCGTTCAGTTCGTCGTCGGCGTAGAAAAACTGGGCCAACAGCGAACGGTCTCCTTTCTGGAAACGAAACGAAAATGTCATAAGTATATTCAAATATTATTAGAAAACAACAAAATTAATGCGATACATGTACGCGAGGTGAGAACGTGTAGAACATTATCTAATAAACGATTTATCGCGGTGACTGCGGCGTTTAATCGCAAACGGAACTTGTCGGGACGTTACGTAATAAAAAAATAACGTTTACGTAACGTTTTCTCCGCGGAGGTACCGTATGTATGGGTAGGAAACGGGAATAATATAATTGAATTAATATTAAATTTCGAAAAATATTACGGCGGGTTAATATCGCGTAAGTACGTCCGCGTGTCAAAGAAAAAATAATAATTATTTTCTTTGTCTCGACGTACGACAATGTAAACTGCTTTACAATATTGTAACGATGACGACGCACTACACGTACAATCGTCCTATTTAAACGTATTATCATTATTATTATTATTGTAAGTTTAAGTATAATATAGTTTCATCGCGGTTTCGAAAAAAAAAAAAAAAACAAAACAAAAATCCGTAAGACAAACCTCGCGTTAAATTTTCAAACATTTTGGCCTGGCCGAAAAAATTATATTCGCATTATTAGAAAATTAGTACGCGAAACACCGTGATTTTAACGATTTCCATTCGAACTTTAAAGCCGTATAAAACTACATTATTACGTTCAACTTTTTTTTTTTCTTTTTTGTGCTCACTAACAAGTACAACGTGTGATCAACTGAGTGTAAAAAATCCAAGTGTTTCTGTTAGGCCAAAACCGTTTTATATAAAAGAAAAAAGTAAACGTGAAAATGTCAAATTCCCAAAGACCATTGGCAAAATGTCTCTATGATTATCCTCACCCAAATTAAAGCAAAAAAACAAAATATAAAATTGCCTTTTAACTTTCTCGTAAGAAAACTACAATAAGTAAAATCAAAAAACGACAATAGTGCTTGAAAACGGATTCTTCTTAATCATATCTAACTCTGTTTACGCTATCTTCTATTGCCACTTCCTGAATACATTTGATTAAATTGTCATTTACTCTGTCTACCCAACGTTGTTTTTGACGATCCCCTTAATATTTTCTAATTTTATTTCCCGACCAAGGTTTTCTTCAAAAGGCCGTTTGGTCAGTTTTCTTATACAGGGGTCTTGGCAAATTATGGTTGGACTTTCTAGCTATTTGTTCTCCTTCTATTATACTCTCTAGTTTCTAATGTTGATCCGTCAATATATCCGTCAAGTATTGTGTTTTTAAAAACAAAACATTTGTTTTTCTTTAGTAGATGACACACCCGTATACAAACATTCACATATGTAAGTATATCAAAACAGGACATAGGAAATTCGAGCACGGGCCTTCTTTTGATCGTCTTGAGATCAATTTTGACTCAAACGATTTGTCTACACCTAAAAAACTTTTGTTTGCAGTAGATAGCATCAACTCAATTTCATTGTGCGGGGGTTATTGTATTGATTTATATTGGCCCCGAGATATTTCAATCTTTCACTAGCGTAAAACTATTATTACATACACAAATTATAATTGACAGATTCGAATGTTTGTCTAATTTATAATTTCCGAGCTGAAGTCAAAGAACTCATATATACTCGTCTATATATATACATATAAATCTATTAATATTATGCATTCATTTATTGACCGATGTACCTACGCGTGAGTGAAAATTGTTCAATTGAAGTATTATTAATGAATAATAATTGATACCGAGCGGTGAATAAACCAATAAAATAACAGTCAGATTTTTTTTTTTTTATTGTATTAAATTTCCGTGATATTATGTTTCAACGCGTTCTGTACACAGATATTTTTTTTACTTGTACATTCTTAAAATTGGAATCTATTTAGTGACAGTTCAGAAACGTTTTCTTTTTAACTGAAAATTATTCCGGATGCGATTATTCCTCCGCATTTTTATAAAAGCTCGCTTTTCAACGGTCGTGTGCTTTTTTCTGTACCAAAACTTTACAAGAGAATAGACTTATAATCTGTGGGTTATACACCTTGAACGAAAATCAGTAAAACGGGTATTTTTCTTATTGTTCTGTGACTTTATATCCGTTATCTGTGATATTATTTTCACGATAAACCAATGTTTTTCGGGGCAAAAACATGAAAAATGTCTATTTTCCTTCCGGAAACTTTTGTTTGCAATTTTGTGCTCGTATCGCAATAATCGCAATGTTGTCTGATTTTTTAAAAAGGGCATTATTGATTATGGCGAACATCGAGTGAAATCGGCGCGTAAAAACTGTTGATGATTATTTTTTTCCGCCGATAATACGATGATAATTATCGGGGATAAACATCGCGGAGGGGAAACGGACTTTGACGAAAAATATAATACGATAAAATAACACGATAAACACTCTGTTTTAAAAATATATATAACCGCGTCGGTCGACTAGGTCCGAAAATCGTTTTCACCGCCTCCGAGTATGAATCTACGCAGCAATATATTATCATAATATACGGTCGCTCGTCTCGTTTTATACGTGTATTATAAATACGTACATATAAACCGTAATAATATTAAAGAAAGTATACATTCTGCGTGACGGGGGCGAAGTGGAAAATTAAAAAAAAAAAAAAGTACTGACCAATTTGTTTGCGACTATCGCGAGAGGTCGGTGTAGCGCGCGGGCCGAATCGTCGTACATTATAATATTATACGTAATACTTTCACTTGGCACTTGATTTTTTTTTTATTTTTTATTCATGGCCACCGCATGTCGCCGTCGTCGTATACATAGAAGGTATGACTATAATAATCGACCGTCACTCTCTAATAACCATTGGAAGTAAATAATACTAATAATAATCAACACGTAAACATCATCCCACGCGGACCGCGATTCAAAAACGATAGGTTAGGTACCTGGTCTTATTTTCTGCTCGGTGTCAAAACGGAAAGCGAAACGAGTGCCGGTCATTATAATATTGCGGCCGACGAAATTTGTTTGTTATACGGAAACACGATACCGATGATACAGAAAAACGGCAGAAAAGTCCGGGTCGGACCGGTTGGATCGAGTTCGGGCTCACGACCGCACGACCGACTGTCGAAAAATCAATATAATTCCGCTTCGGAATATTGGTCAACAAAAATATCGTTTGAATTCGATTCGATTACCAGGTTTTTTTCAATAAAATAATATATTCTACAAATTCGTTACAAGTTACCGGTCACACACACATTGATAGTGAACCGTTTTGGTACAAATGGATACAAACCCATAGTAACCGGTGGCAACAGAGATGTTCATTTTAAACTGTTCACTATAGCTAACGGCTTATCGATCAAAAAGGTTTGATTACATGTATACTTGATTCATGATCGTATTATATAGAACAAAACTTAAATTAAACGAATAATAATATTTTAACGTTTAAAACATTTAAACGAAATATCCAAGATTAAATTGAATTGATTATTTGATAACATCATGATTGTAGAAAGAGATAATGTGTGTTGGTTACCAAATCGGTTTAATAAGGTTCCAATAAGGGGAAGTAATAATTCTGGAAGGGATAACGAAAAGTCACCGCGCTCGTAGTCGGTTATCCGAGATGATCACAGAATGTTATGACTGGTAAAACGAAACGAATTTCATTATTTTATAACCGTTTTCAAGGGGAAATAGTCGCCGGTTACTATCGATGGATTTGTGAGTTATTATGAGAATGAGGTAATTGTATTTCTTTAAAAATCACGATTAAATAAAAACATTTCATCCGTGGATCACGATGACCTAATATAATCAATCGATTGTTCATGTATTCAATTTCCCCCTCAAGCTCCATTTCCCGCCGTTTGTTGTTTTTATTTGCGGTAAATTTACCCGATTCCGCGTTGCTTTTTTCCGGCCCTGAGTATAAACAAACGATACGAATAAATGAGTATCGGATTTTTTTTTCTTCACCTTGGACCAAAAAAGAAAAAGTGGACACATTGTGGCGGTTTTTTTTTTAATAGTTTCCAACAAATTTATTGTAATTACGGTTAATGGTAATGAATAGTTGAGAATGATAAAATAATTATATATGACACAATATAATTATTATAATATATATATATATATATGTGTATTTCTCATGGCCAGTGGCTCCCGCAATAAATATCCAGGGACCAATCACGAGACGACCGTTAACAAGACTTCTATACTATTATGATATACTACCTATATAATATAAAAGAACGAAAATTCGAAAACAATTAAACCGACCGAATACATAATATTGAGGACAGAAAAAAAAACTATCAGACACCTTATAGTATAATAGGTATATAACCTTGTAGTTCATATTATATCGGGTTTCGTCTATTAATGGTGAGAATTGATTTACGACCGAAAACAAACAAATAATATTATATAGTTTACCGAAAATTGCACATCGTATTATTTGTCAGTTATAGTAAAATAAGCGAGAGTATTATAAACTTTCGGAAGCCAGAGGGTGTGAGGTGTACCTGTGGGGGGGGGCGAAGGGGGCATTCGCATGTTTTTAAAAGTCATGATTTTTACAATTTTCATCAAAATTCAAACTTAAAAGGCTGTTAAAAAAAACCGAAATAAAATTACGCTCAACTATTTTTTTACCACTAAATAAAACTTAAAATGAGCCTATTGTAAAATGATAAAATATTTCTGTTCTTAACAATTGTATCCACACATAAAATCAAAAAGAAAAACTAGGAAATGTCAAATATATATACTCTAAAATCGCTAAAATGATATGACAATTTCACCACGTTGGAAAAGGCTAATATTATTATTCTGTGAAAATTTTAGTTCTCTATATGATTATATTTAACCGATTTACAAAAAAATCTCCTGACGTTTTTAATTGGATCAAGATTTCTGTTAGCTCGTTGTACAACCAATACGTTCCGCTCGTTACGCTAGAATCTAAAAGAGAGTTTAAATTTATTTGTTGTTTTCCACAAAATAAGTAAAAATAAAAATACTAATAAGGCTCATATACTTTTTCTCGAAATGAAAGAATACTCGAAATAAAAGTTAATTAATACATGCTATTTATATAAACGCTAGCGTTATTAATGATGAAATAAAGAGATTAATAACAGGCAAAGAGATTGAGATTTAAGATGTAATTTAATATCAGTATCCGAGAGAGAGGGAGAGAGAGCAGAAGACTTGCTATATTTACAATTTAGAAAGCTCATCGCAATCGAACCGTATGCATACAATACGGCTCAACCGTTCCCTTAAAATCAAAAAATACGAAAGATAAAAACTAAATAAAAACAGAAATAAACGTCGTGTTAAATTGCGATTTGATGTAAAGAGCTGCCGACCGGACAGCGTTATAGTGGAGAAAAATGAAATCAATTTCGGCGAGGATGTTACTACATATTGGGGATAGGAGCTGCGAACCGCACGACAGTATTACAAAATATATACGACAAGTCACAAGTATAGTAAAATATCGTCATGGCGACGAGTGCTACTATAATAGGGGAAATGATGATTAAGGCCAAGGCAATGCGCTTGCGCATGAAAGACACGAGTGTGCATATGGTGACAAATAAATACACAAGGGTCGTGGAGAGGATGTCGATTGCAAAATATCATTATCTTAAACGAAAATATTATTTTGTTTTACCGGTTAAACCAAAAAAACTTAAGAAAAACGAACAATTTTACAGCATTTATGGTTTCAGTATTACGATTTTGTTTTTAGATTCTGAGCGGAGCGAGAAATGTATTGGTTTTACAATGATGTTTTTTTTAACAACTTTTCTAACAGAAATTTTGCACGGATTTATAATAATAGCACTTTTTCTAAAATTAAATCTGACTGGGGAGATACGTTAAGGAGATCGTTTTTTGATTTTCCCAATAAATGGAAAAAACGGAAAAATATGTACATTTATATTATACAAGTATTATTAAAGTTTATTAATACATAGGTAATTATTTCACCATAATATGACATATATATTGTTGACAAAGCATTACTTATCAACCGAACTCCGCTCAGAATTGTTTTACGTTAGCAATGGTTTATCTTTGGTTACAGATATAAATTAAATTTACAACAATGGCACACCCATTCACAGTATCAACTCTTTTTTCCAAGATAACCCAAAATCAACAAAAATATGTCTTTCTAATGTATCAAATCGATCAAAAATGTTACAAAAAAATACCTAAAAAATGTTTGTTTAGAACAAGATTTCTGATAGAAACGTTGTTTACAGACACAAGAAAAATAAATAAAACACATCAAAGCAAAATCAATAAATTCCTCTATTCGCGCAGAATTTATAATCTGTAAGCTATAACGTATACAGAGTAAATTATTGATTGCGGCATAAGTTTGGCAAATTATGCAATACTACTGAAAAAAATTCTTTATTAAAACTCACGAAATTATCTTGTCTGTTATCGTTAAACATATTTATTTCTAGTTTAATTATCTGTATATATATATATATATAATAGGCTTACACGACAATAATTAAATTGTCTGTAGTATAATTAGTTTAAATATGGTTAAATGTGGTTAAATAAGAGTTTAAGTGGAGCAAAGATCGATCAAAAATTTTTGTCTTAAGTGTACTTTTTTTTCTCAATTAATTGTTGATTGACCTACATCAATAACATACTTGTATACAATTAAAGTGTCGCGCAATCAATTATTATATACATATAGGTACTTAATGGTCTCACTACCAATTGATTACTATCAATTGACACGGATCCATTATTATTGCACTCTCTTGCACAAACCGCACATAAACTTTTGTGAGAAATTCGGAAAGCCGTAGTTTCTCACTTTCTAGTATGTATATAAAAAAAAAAAGTCTATAACTATTACGTGATGGAGTGCCGTTAACTTTATCTACACTCCCCCGCGTGAACTTTAGTGCGGATGGTCAATATCCATTGCGTTATTCGATTCTGAGCATAAGAATCATTATCATAAAAGAAGAAGAATAATCGTTAGTTCAGAAAAGATGTTTTTTCTTTTCGGAAAACGGTTTAATGTTACCTAGTAGAAACGCTGTGATTGTTTAAGTTATACAATAAAAGATGCTAAATTTCTCTGTTTGGCGACATTTTATTTGATAAATGTATCGACGTTTTTAGTAGTTCACTCCTTAGGTCCTACTTTTTTTTCTGATTTCTGCACGGTTATAATATATACAGGCTGTCCCACGAAGATATATACTCCTTAAATATCTCCGGAGATAATAAAAATAATCAAATTCTGATTTTTCATATTACTCACAGAAATAAGGAAAACAAATATTTTTTTTTTTTAGTAAAAGAATTTAAAAAATTAACTTTTTATTTTATTATTTTCGGAAAATTTTAAGATCGCCATTCCGTCTGTAAAGTTTATTTTTAAGAAAATTCTAATGTATCACACATTTATATCCGATGAATAGTTTCTAGACATTTTAAATTCTTCTAATCCGTGTGAAAACCGATGTTATCTAGGGAATAACCTAACCGCGTTACGCGATATTCAAGGGGTATATCTTCATGAGATAGCCTGTATATTACATACATTGGCAACAAGTGAAAAACCACGCTCAGAATCGCTATTTCGTTCGCGACGATTTACTATCGTTGTACACAGTATAATTGTATAAACTACACTGTCCCGTATATCCTATACAGCTATATCCGGTCAACTACCCGCCTGCAAGAGTACTCGCCCACCTGTGTGTTAACTAACACGATCTCATGAAAGTTTTGAAGCAATCGAATGTGTTTCCGACAAATGTACGTGAGCCAACGCCGACCGACGGGTTTTAGCTTGTTTATAGTGTAAAGACGTTATCGCGATGACCATTTTTATATTTATTTTTTTTCCTTTTTAACTTATCGGGTCAATTTTTTCAGCCGATTTTCGCCGGGCACTGACGCGATTGATACTATACATTATTATACGTGTATTACCCATACATAGGCTTTTGACGTATAATGTACACCCTTCGATAAAACACACACACACACACACACATTGGACGGGCATCGAAATAACAATAATACGGGAAAAACAACGTAATTATTGTAATAATATCGCACCAACTCGCGGAATGTAGGTTAAGGCTATCTGCCGCAGGCAGCGGCGGCGGTACAGCTGTCTGCGGCCACGGGACACGAGCTGCTTTCTTGGTACGAGCGCGAATATTATAATTCGAAATTTTCCGGAAAATCATATACAAAAAAAAAAATACAAAAAAACTAATAAAAATCGTAAAAAAACGGCAACATAGCGTATCTAACCGAGAGACTGCTGTATACATAAAACTACTGTATACTATCGAGTGCACTATCATTTATTACACGCGAACACAGCGCCGCACAGCCGGTCATATTATTATATACAAAGTGAAATTTCCCCTTGGACGGCGACGGCGGCTTATGAAATCGCTTTATCACTCGGAAATAATTTTTACGTATAATAGGAGGGTACGGCGCGGCGTGATAACAACGCAGTGGTGAATACTGTACCGCGCGGTCGTGGGTCGGAAAACGAAAAAGAAAAAACGCACACACATATTATAATACGTTAATATTAAACAGCGGGGAACGGGAATCAAGAAAAAAAAAACAAAACAGGAAATCGTGTATTATTACAATGTATACCAGATACATACATACCTACCTACCTACCTACCTACCTACCTATAAACAAATAAATAATTCAACGGTGGTATTATTATTTTGCGTTACGCGATTATTATTTTTTTCTTTCCGACGCACAAACTGGCCGAGAATACGATTTTTTTTTTTATATCGACGAAAACAAACGAGACCGTGATAAGTGTGCTTACACCGCGTATTGGATAATAAAATTCGATTACGTAAAACAATAACAAAATGTGTGTTTTATACGAGATCTCTGATAAAAAAAAAAAAAACATAAAAATAAACGTTCGACAATTGCTGTGGTTACACCGAGACGGGATATTATTAAACAATTTTCTCGAGGAGACTGCGACGAGAACATTTCCCAGTGCTCTTCCCGTTGTTTGGCGACTGTTTAGGTTATTTTTTTCTATCACTCCTTTCGACTTTAATATCATAAGTACCTGTATAGATAAACGACGACGACGAAAAAACCAAAACGCTAGACTTTGATTTGCATACGCACAAATAGCGACGATTTATAAAACAACAAAAAAAAAACCTAAATTTCAATAAGTCCTTGACAGATTTTTGACTCTCGTTTCCGATTGTGCGCGTCTATACAGCATTAGTACAACGCGCCTTCGCAAATACGGTTATTTATTGATAGTTCGGAAATTTGTTGTCGTGTAAAACGACTACGAAATCGATAGACTTATTATTTATGTTATTCTGACGCAACTTTGGAAAACGTATTCGTATGAGATTTTTTGAAAAATCGTATTAAAAACGCACCTTTCCGCCTTTCTCTCTCCTGAACTGACCGGAGTTTCGTATTGTACAACAATAAATTATTATCGTAATTGGCCACACTACATACCGTTACGCAAAAAAAAAAAAGGCTGATACTGATGATGGGTGTGTCTTCAGAAGGGAAGTTGGAAGGGAGGATAATAATGTAATCTATATAGATTATAAATTAGATATAAGTTTAGTTCTTCTATAAAGTCATTTAATGTATATCAGTGCGCTACGATGAACTATCGATTCTGAACACTACTTTATCGGTCGTAGTATTTTTCATTTTTATCAAGGTGACCCAGAAATCAACAAAAATTGTGCGTACAAATAATTGCTAATTTTATTCCCTATACAAGGAAAAAACATCATAGTTAAACCAAACCAAAAATTATATTACGTTTTAATGTGGTTTTAAATAATACCAACGTTAAAATAATCGTATAACTAAATAGGAAAAAAATAACATTCAACAATATTTATGTAGTACGCGTATAAAATTTGTATTTGTTTTTAAATAAATATACATAAGCAGTGTAAACTCGATCGCGATAAATGAATTTTATGTTGACTAATTGAATTGCCTATTTACAGAGTGATCAACACAACGTAAGACACGTACTACATTACCTTGGAAAGTATTAATTTTTTATCGGTTCCTCTCCCCATATTCATAAAACGGACGTTTTAAAAGCGGAATATCTATTGACTATACGCAGGTTGCTGCCGCCGAAATTGATTTAAATTAAACAAATTTTTATTTATAGTATTTATTGTAATACAGAGTGATCACTATTCACCATAAATCAGACATTTTCTCGGAAGGTTTTATTAAGTGAATTTGATTTTTATTTGTTTTTTCTCCATCGTTCTGGAATCGTTTAAACTGTATTTTAAAACTATTTTCAAAAGTATTCACTTTTGATTTTTCTATAGAAACACCAATTTTTTTTTTAACACAGATTCGAATAGAGGATATACAAATGTTAATATGTATAACTATTTACCATTTACAAACTAAAGTTAAAATTTAGACCGGAGGAGTATGCAAAGATATAATAAATTGCAAAACCATTTGTAGACGATAAATTCACAACCATACTCCTTCGGTCTAAATTTTGCACTGTTGTAACCGTTATCAATGGTAAATCCTATATATTAGTGTTATACATGTCAACATGTTTAGAACAATATCCTCTATTCAAATCTGCGTTCAAAAAGCGGGGTTACAAATTAAAAATGGTTTTACAATAAAACTTAAACAATTCCATAATGATTGAAAAAAAAAAAGGAATCAAATACACTTAAAATTATCCGAGAAATTTACTGGTTCGTAATAAGATGACCATTTTCGATTTAGTTAGTTCGAATTAGTCGATTAGTTCGCCTTTTTAACAAACAAGTTAGCAATTTAACCCCCGGGAAAATAAGGATCGCGTAAAACAACGGTAATGCGTATCGTTTTAAAGTTGTTTTTGTTTCTAAAATGTTCTAAAAAAAAAAAAAAAAACAATTCCGAACAAATTTAATAATATTTCCAAGATAACAGCAATAATAATGTCTTAAACGTTATATTATGTCGATCGCTTGTAAACACATTATTATGAAAATATCTCGATAAATACTTGTAATACTTTCGTTATGGCGAAAAAATTACGCCGGCATACTTACCATATACTTATTATTGTTGTTGTTATCTAATCGTTATTACGAAAAAAAAATACGAGTTTGAAAAAACGCCGAATATTTTTAAAATATAGCAGCGAAAAAAACATGATGCATTGAATCGTAATTCACTTCAGATAACCTGTCGGCCTGCAAAACGCTAAAACTATTATTGTTATAAAATAAAACTGTTATCAATCGCGTATACTCATATAAAATAATCGGTACTCGCGTCATATTTTACTTTCGAGCAAAATTCTCCGCCGAGATATTGTTGTGTATACAACAGTCATTGTATAAAGACTAAAAATAGTAAAAAACAAAAAATACTATACTAGATCTGTATAATAACTAATTTCCCGAACGGGAATCACGTGTTCTGCGGACAAAATCGACCGAAATCGTTAATCGCGAAATTCGAATTTTCATTATGTACGCATACAGAAAACCGGAATTATAAAGTTTTTTTTCAGATATTCGTACGAGAACCCGGTACCCGGACAATAATAATATAATGCATATAGGTACTATAATTTAGTCGTGGCGCAAGCGCAACGTTCGTTTTTGGCTTGTTTTCAGTTGCAGTGTAATTGACGCACGTATACAATGTGTTTGTGACCAAAGCCAAATCATAATTGAAAAAAAAAAAACGTTAAAATACCCACATACACGCGACATATTTAACAATATTATTGTAATTTACGTAATAAGGAGTATCACTATAATTTATTTACGAAAAATGTGTCACGCGAACAACAATTAATGCTGTGCCGCCGGAGCGACATCTTAAGTTCCAAATATACACTCAATGTTATGAAAATAACGAAACAAATAAATCATCATCGTTGTTATTAAATAGTTCGTTAACAAAATCAAAAAAAAAAACAAAATACAAAAACAAAAACAAATATCCGTGAACAGCCTCTGCGTCACTATATACGTCACTATATGCGTCACTATATACGAATAGGCTGTTATTCCCCCAGTCGACTTATCGCCGTTAAAATAATAATAATTTGTTTTTTTTAACCTATCTAAACTAATGATAATGGTCGCCAGAGTTTAATGACATTTTTACGAAGGTACGTTTCGCTACGTGACGTTTGAGCATAAAAATGTTTGAGGAGGGGTTGAAAGTAGACACCCCAAAAAGAACGGTCGTTGATACTTAAACCGTGGATATACAAAAAAAAAAGGTTTCTGTTAGGGTGTACAAAGCTAAAACAAAAAAACACGGTGAAATTTATATTGAAATCGAATAAGTCACAACTTGTACGTTGTGATTGAAAAAAAAAGTGAACCTATAAAGTCTTTAATTTTTTCACGAGCATTTCAAATTCAAATTTAGCCTCGAGTTTATCATTAAATTCGTTAAAAACAATTATTGTAATTACAAATCAATACAATTTTCAATTTAAATATAACAAATAATGTTATACCGAATCCCGTTCAGAATCGTTAAGAATGATCTATCGTTGCATATACAGTACCTAATAAACTAAAATTACCCTAATAAATAATTCTACTCGCCTTACTTCCCACGTACAACAGTGATCTACTCAAGCAGAACTTTTTTTAATGATCTATAACATAAATCGTACAATTTGTTATGCTTGTTAAATTTTCTTTATTTTTAGTTCAAGGGTTCAAGGGATCTAGACCCTTAGCTGGTATTCATGTGCACCTTAGATGTAAACATTATAATATTTAATATGTACATGTGAACATAGACGTAGCTTCGACAGTGTACAAAATGATTGAAGAAAATAGACTGAGTGTTACCTTATGAAAATAAACATAGAGAAGAACAGGGAAAGAGGAAGACCGGAAAAAATTTGGTTGGATGCGATTGAGAATGGTATGAGGACGATGTGAGAAATCGGGTCTAGCGAAAGTTTAAAACAAAGGCGACCGATCTCAAAGAGTTGCGATGAAGGCGAAGGAGGCGGAGACGGATCAGGCGTACTTGAAATTCGTAAAGCAAAAATATCGATAGCAGATACAAAATAACAAACACACGAACATCGTATCGCGTCAACAACAAACCGCATTCGGCCGCGTGACTTTATATGTACAGCGACCAAATTGTTCCATGAGTATGACTAATGTTGACTAGGTATTCAACCGGAAATTTTAACAATCGCGTAAAATAAACCTACACAAAAAACCGTAATATACGTATAAGATTAAACGGGAATCCTGGCAGCCGTATAATCCAATATACCGAGCGGGAAAATACCATTGATTAACCCGCGAAAAAATATTTGTTTATGCCGTGAATTTTGCGATAAAATTAAAAAAAAAAAAAAACGAGCGATAGTAGGGAAAATAATTGAAATTATTATCGCTGTTATCGTTTCTGCAATCGTAGCGTGGAAAAAAAATTATTTTTCGCAGGTCAATCGAACGCGCAGTTTTCCCTTTTCGTATTATCTTGTCGCGGGACTCGGTTATAAAATATACAAGAACATATAGTCAGTCATAATATATCTTATTAATTATAATAGTGTTTTGCAATATGTTTATGCGAGCTGTGAGTACATTCGTTTAAAAAAAAAAAAACCTATTTCTTTCTAAAAGACTGTTTAACGTTCATATCTACACGGACGGGGTGTACCGGGACAAAAATCGCACAAATACAAAATGACGGAGCGATAAAACCGCGCAAATAATAATCGAACATAGTATTATTATTGTCATTAAATAGGTAGGCGCAGGTATATTGTAATAATAATTAAGACGGCAGGAAATTAAATAAACACGGCCCCATTGTGCGGATTGCGTATTCTGCGTTATAGCATACCCGTGTCGTCCTCAAAATTTTCACGAATTGTTTCTGCAACACCCAAACCGAACGCCGAGTATGTACGGGCGGCAAATGGGAACGTGCGTGTTCTTTTTTTTTTCAAACAATAGACACCGCAGCACGGCACATTCGTAAAACAAAGAGACGCCCGAATGGCGAACAAAAAAATTCACACGTATACGTGTACACGTTTATTGGCGCAACATATAATAATATACGTGTTATAATATACAGAATAGAAGTACGGTTTCCGATACCGTCGTCTCACTTTGGTTATGAATCCCTTGAATCGTCGACTAATAATATCGTGTTTCAGGCGCCCACGCCCTCGCGGTTTACGTCCGTCTTATGTCGAACAAATCGCATTTTTTTTTTTTTGTTTATCCTGTCACATTTGCGATTACATACTATCTCGCGTAATAAGAACCGAAAAATCGTTGTAAAAAACACGAAGAATTAAAACACCATGTCGATTGTTGTGTATTATTTATTCGGAAATATACAATAATTCCGGTGAATAGACTATAGACCGATATAAGGGGTTTTTTTTTTTTAGATTCCGAGTAGGTATTTATAATAGTATAACGAAGAACCCATTAAGTCTTGTACAAATATGCGGTTTTTTCTCGTAAAACATTTTTTCCGTTTGTAAAAATACTCGGATTTGTTCACGTCATATGTTAAAAGTTGCGGGAATTTTGTACGGCGATGTACTTGACTCGAAACGTTTCACCCCTCCTAGGACCTTTAGATTCTTGTCGAATGGTGTTTAATAATATTTTTTTTATGTGAACACTTTTTCTACCAGAAATAGCTTACTCCGATTATCAAGTATAGCCTTTTTTCTGAAAGGAAATGTTTTCTAGGTGGTACTGAAAAGAGGTTATTTTCTGAAATTCTCATTAATATTCGAGATAATGAGGAAAACCGGGTTCTAACATAGGTTTTAAACATAGGTTAAAAAGATTTAAAGATTAAAAACCAGTTTTTAACCAGTGGCAACGGTTTTTCTTTATTTTTTGTAATTATTAAGATTTATTATTTTATAATCTTTTTTAAATAATCATTTTTGTAATCATTTTATCATAATATGACATACCTATATATATTGTTGACAAATCAACACTATATCAACTGAACTCCGAATAGAATCGTTTTTTCGTTAGCAATGGTTTATCTTTGATTACAGATATACATTTAATTCCCGAATTTAGTATTATATGCTTAATTACTATATACCCACCTCAAATGAAGACCTACTCTTGACTCCCGAGCAGTATCAAGTTTTTTGTTTGTTTTAAAAATTTAATTTCGGAGTTTCAAAACGATAAAATATACCGTCATTTCGTGAACCGTATATAAACAAAAAAAAAAAAAAACTCGACTGACACACTTATAGCTTTCTCTCGTATTTTATTGTAAAATATAGGAAACTCAGTCTTCCCACGAACTACGGCGGCAATGTCGGCGTATTCGATTAAGACGGTCGGTGTATTTTTCGTTTCATTGTATAACATCGCAAATTATGAATGCTTAATAATGTCAATTTTATTCATTACCTAGTTAAATAAAAACAGAGCGTACGAAAATGTCGCTCTGCAACTATACGGGAAATAATGATTTCGACTGAACGAAAAGTTATATTTTCTAATGTTAAAAAAACACATACACACTCTATAATGGAAATGTTGGTACACGAAATGTTTTTACGATTCCGTTACGATATAGTTCATATGATTAATCTTAAAAAGCGAAAATAAATTCAAATTATAATTAGTTCGAATTTCTACGGAGTGTAGATTAATTATAAAATAACAACTGGCCCGATTATGATGATATTAGATGGACGGTTAGGTTCAATTAACCGAATTCGAATGTTCAAAATGTTATGCATTGTATACTATATCTTGACTATAATACATTATACCTATTATATTCACATGTACAGATTGTGAATACACAAATATATAATGCATCAATGTCTACACGCAATGAATAAGTAAAATGTCGATTGTTGAAGGGTTTGTCCTGAAACTCGAACGTTTTTGAAGTATTATTATATAGGTACACTTGTCGATTACTTCGAGAAGAATGAGACACCATGAGGACATTTTTTTTTTTTAAAAAGAGTAATGGTCTTTTAGACCCGCCCTAGAAGCAAATACTTCTACATGTATTCCTGTACACAGCTGTCTCTTTCATCATTGTACTCCAGGTTCAAAATCCTCCCACCTTAAGATTAGTCTCCTTATATTGGTCGCTTTCCTGTTTTAAATAACAGCTCTTATTATCGATCCCGGTTTACTCCATGCAAGTCCTGCCCATTTCATTGGTCTCACTGAAATTTCTTACGCATTACTAGAACGTTGACAAATATCCTTGGAGTTCTTGAAATTGCGTCTAATCCTTCATTCCCCAGCTTGATCGTCTTTGCATGGACCAAAAATTCTCAGATTTTTTTTTTTTCTGAGAGGTCTCATGTTTCTGAGCAGTATAACACAACAAAAATAATCAAACTATGTGTTTAAACATTTATATAATCACTAAAATAGATTGAATCGTTTAAAAAACAACACCTTTTTATAGAAGACAATCGCACCAATTATTAATTATTATAATATCTAAGCACGTGTTTTAAATTTAAAGGATTAATTAATTCGAACAACGAAGCACAAAAGAATCGATTAATTTAAACGATGTTTCACAAAATACGACTAAAGCCTGTCTATACTATACAAATATAATAGTATCTCAGCAATAAAATATTTTCTTATTATAGGTACTTATTATCAATAATTAAATCGAGTGCAACGTATTAAATATTATCACTATCCGTTATACGAGTACTTTGTGTTTAATAATCCGTATAGTATATTACGCATATACATTGTATTTACATGTACATATACATGTATATATATATATATATATATATACATTTTTTTTTTTTAATCGAAATACAATTATCTCGCATGTATACTACTAGGCGTATACTCTAATTTAAATAACAACAACATAAGTCATCCGAGTCCCGAGTCGTATTATACATAGAATTGAATAATATTTATTAATCGCCCGAACACAGTATTATCAACAAAACAAAGATAAAAATAATAATGTCCGACCTACGTGTTTATCTCTTAGTCAGTTACAGACCGAATAGATTTTTGTCATTGTTTTTCAACTTACTCGTATAACTTTCTTACATATACCTATAAGAGAACACTAACAAAAATATTGAAAATAAAAATAACCAAGAGGTTGAAATGTGTAACCTTCACAGTCGTGTGAGACAGATCTGAACAAAGTAGAACAAATATACAACAATACGATTGTGGCATGACGGTCTTTAAGGGTCGGTTACTAGTAAATATACGCGATGTCGTTCCGTAGTGAGGACGGTAATTATTAGGTCCCGCGTGTGCTGTCTCAGTCCAACTAACAGCCAATATAGCAAAATCTACCATAAGCGGACTGTGTAGAATTCGCTTAATTTTTGGTTTTGGAGTAAAATCACCTATTATGAAATTAAAAAAGGACAATATTCCCGAATACGGGACGATGCGTTTTTCCAATTATTCTAATTTTTATTCCGGATACAACGTTCAATACATCGTTTAGAAATAATATCTAATTCGTCGTTTTAAATGATTGTAACATTTTAAAAAATTAATTTTAAAAAAGAAACGCATCGATTCGTCTTCCGAAATATTGTCCTCTTTTAACTGCAGTATAACAGGCGCTTTTACTCTAAAACAAAAATTAAACGAGTCTCTCTCTTAAACAACTACACAAATAAACAGGTAAGTATACGCCATCTAGAGATTGTTACCGAGGATGAAACAGAGGATAAAACGGCACTGTTGATATTATCTTTAGAATTTTAGACTAACGCCGCTCTCGGACGTTTTTAATCAGTTCTTTGCGTAAACAAGGCGTAATATCCTCCCATCTTAGCTTTTGGGAGCGAGAATTGATCACTTTTACTACTCGCGTCCGCAGTGCGACAAACAAGACCACGAGACCTCTATACACAATATGAAATTTCAGGCCGACGGGTGGACAGGAAGAAAAGGGTTCCTGTCCTCTAAAAACCAACATAAAAAAACGTTAACGTATTATTAAAACAATGTAAACACAAGTGGCGGCGACGGCGACGTTGAGTGTTGACCTATGTCCTACGCTATAAAAAGATCCAACCCAGAAACCGAGTCTTTAAAAATTTTATACGGCGATTAAAAATGCGGTTTCTCCCCTCCACCTCCCCATCCCCTTTTAATATTCACGCCGGACGGAATTTTCTAACCCGTAGTATACAAAGCCGGTATACATACAGACAGCGGCCGTCTATTATACAGGGTGATTATTTTAAATCAAAAGTCAAAAAAAATCAAAAAGAAAATATTTCAAAACTAGAAATAATAATCAGCCGGTATACGCGTATATACGTAAGTTATTACACGCGAATATTATTAATATTCTATTTAAAATTACGGATAGGCGCCTAACCAAACGAAGACGTTTCGGACTTTTTCGACAGTATCGAGTAGGACACAACGCGTCCTTCGCAAATCACCCGGTGTGTATCAATAGAAACGGATATAATATTATATACTATACGGAACATCGTTGTACGGCTATATAATGTACAACCTTGATAACTATAATATTTTTATTATAATGTACAAACAGAAAATAACGCGTACAGGATATTGGCATGATATTATAGCGAAGATAAAACGATATATCTGAGCGTTCGAAATATTTCCGTCTGAAGATGCGTTTTTATCGCGGATTTACGTCTATACCGGAAGTCCGGGACACACAAACACTCGCTGTGTACTAATATTTTAATATCGCTTTCGAAATTACACTACGATAGGAAATGGCGTCGTTATAATATCGATAATAATATATTAATAAGGGATAGACGATTTTCACAAAACGTTTCGAGTAAAAAATTATTGAATTCACTTTCATATTCGTTAATAATCTTTTTAAAATCACCTCCCCCTCGAGAGAGACAAAATAATTTCCAACGCTCCTTCTGTGTGAACGTCCCTTATAATTAAGGGCACGGGAAGGAGGTGGGAAATCGCTAAAATTTAAAAAACCAAATTGAAATGGCCAATACAAATATTAGGCACACTAAATATTCTTTGTTAAAAAATACAATGAAAATTGAACGAATAGCCAAAGAAGAACTTAATTTCGATCCATGAGCACGATATGAAAAGTAACTAGAGACTCGAAATCTGTATTATTTTACGGATTCGTATTGCCAAATAAACGCGGAATAAATGAAATATTGTTTTCATTGTTTAGAATTAAAATACTTGGCGGGCTACAGATCATTGTTTCATTCGAAATAACATAAAAAAAAAAATATTCAATGAAATTGATGTTTCCGTATACGTTCCCTGTCAATTCATCTGCAATAAGGCACCGAAGGCATAGGTTTTGTTTCTTTTTAAATCCGAAAATCTCCGATGGCTTTGTCGCTCCGATTTGTTTCCCCCAGTGTGTGACGAACTGGATGCGGTGCTCGTTTATTTTGCCGTAATAACGTTCGACATTTTATTTTTATTTTCCCGACTGTTTTCATTTCGCGTTCAATATTCCCGTTCCGTTGGTTAAAATTAAACTCGACATAATCTCGCGCGATCTGTAATCAATGCCACAATGATTGTGGAGTGCCCGCGAATTATCACAAATTAGAGTCTCGACTACGGTGTTTCAAACACATTATTTCGATTTAATACGACCGGGATTAATGCAGTGCTTTTTTTTGGTTTATGGTACTTTCGATAGACGTAATAATAATTATTATTAACGATATTTATAATATTGTCGAAACACGCGACGACGCGGCCAATTCCGTTGTTCTTAAAAATATTTCAATTTAAAATCTGTTCTGTAAATATTGTTGTAACGTTCACGGTGACGCAGGAAAAACGACGTTCGCTTAAGAGGACGTTATACCCACATCTCACTCCAACTACCGGGTAACATACAAAAACAATGCTTACGCAGAATGGAAAAACTGGCGTTGTTTGATTTCAGAGTAAAAGTACCTATTATGAAATATATATAAAACACTATTTTGAAAGGAATGTAATGGGTGTTTATTGAATATTATGAACTATTAAACAAGTTACAGCTATTTAGAAAATAAAAAAAAATAAAGGTTTAAGTATCAAGTTTTTTAAAATTATTTTTGCTTTTTTCTGCTTAATTATGATAAGTGCCACTGACAAAAACCTAAACATTTTAGTTAATATCTGTTTTTTCATTTTTGTTCACGGTAAAGCTATAATTAAAAATAATTTTTCTCCTTTGTATCATATTCCTACGAAAAAAGGAGTCTTACCTGATGACGGTACAATTAAAATTACCAACGTTTTAATATCATTGTATTACAGAAAAACTATTTATAATTCAATTTACAATTTATTTCTAAATAAAAACAAACTTATAATATGATTTTTTTTTTTGATGTTACTTTTTTTTTTGCTTATTTTAATATTAAATTCTTATAATGAAGTATTTTGGTGCTTTTTTCATGATTACAAGTGCTATAAGACCCAAGTTATTACACTTTGATAGTAGTAGGATAAACCTAAGTATAGTCCATTATATGTTATCGTACAATTAACGATTAATATACCGGATAACAAGCTATAAATATACCTATTATTAACTTTTGATTTTCTGATATCATTAATAATTAATGTAATTGTACAATTATTTTACTCGTATATTACTCGTTTATCTCTCAATATATATATTTATACATTAAACTTCGAAATAGCATTATTGAAAACATCGATTAGTAAGTAATAGTAATAATATTTTATTTTTTACTAAACATTTTTTTTGAAATATTCTAATTTTATTATTAATGATAGTAAACGTTATTGTATTTTTTTTTCTTATGTTATTGATCTATTCAAAATGACTAGTGCACACTGGGGTTTCAAATTCAACTTAAATATTTAATTACATTGGTGGGTTGTATTTTTTAAAAAAAATCGTTTTCCTATAGCTGCCTATTGGGAAATTTTCAATGTATCAAATAAACCATAACTCACTAATTCAAATAAATTAGTCTTATTTTTTGTTTTATATTATTAAATATTGGGATAAAAAATAATTTATATTATGTTCGGGAAAATGCCCTGTTTTACCGTGATAGTCCCACAGAAATTGATTCAGCCGTTTCAGAGATAAGCTCAGACAGACAGACAAACATTTTAATTTAATTTATGTGTATAGATTGTATTAAAAATAAACACTAACAAAAGCAATAACTAATAAGTAATTCATTTTTGATTTTGATTTTTAAATACCTACTTCTAAGACTTATAAACCCAAATCAAGTGGAATACGCCAAAAAATATTTTTGCCCCATTATTTTTTAACTCATTCTGGGCCACTGTGCGACGGTGTTTTGTTAAAATTATCAAATTTAATTTTTTTTTCATGAAGCAAAAAAAAAACAGCAAAACAATTTTCAATGATGTTTATTATGGAAAACGATAAAATTACTCGTACACAAGGTAACCGCCCTTTTAACAAATCAGTGTTAATTTAATTATATACTATAAAAGGGCTATATTTTAGTAGACATCGACTTAATTTTCCGTATCAATTAAATACGCCCCTTCACCAGTGGTCGATGTTCTTATTTTTCGATTTTTTTTTTTTTTTTGGTAGTAATTATAAAATTAATTAAAAGTAATTGAAAAATGTTATTCTGAATAGGCGATATTAAAAAAAAAAAACAAAATTTTAACACCCGTTTTATATACGGTAATTATTATTACGGATGGGTGTGGAACACTTTCGATGGCGAGGGCTAAACAAATAACCTTCAAAAACTATCCCCACACCCCCATCCCCCCTCGAATACTGCAATACCGTATACCGGGGAACAACGGTTGATTCGTTGCGTTGACAATGCCGTCGGTCGCCTGTGCACATTTGATATCGTTAGACGAAATGCGATTTTCGTGTCCGGAATAGACGGTACTTACCCGCGCACGAAATATTATTATTGTTACGGTTTCCCCGGGCAAATCATATCGGTTACCCGTCGCAATAAAACAATACGATTAATTTCTAATCGATAGGTAAAGACGACGATATTTATCACGTGTTATTTATTATTGTTGTTGTTTGTTGTCGTGGCGGTGGTCGCAATAGCCATTAAATCCAAATAGCGTACCCATAAACCAGTGGTTCCCAACTTAACATATTAGGCACTGACCACTGTTGTAAATTTCCCACCGCCGCGAACCACTTGGTTCCACTCACCCCTTCCCCCTTCCATCGCTTATTTCTCTAGAATTTATACGTATATAATAAAATCAGCAATACAGTAAACTAACTGACCGACTGACTGACCACCACTCGGGACGAGTCTGTTCACGGACTACTCGAGACAAGTCCAGAGACCACCACTGCTGGAAACCCCTGCGATAAACGGTCGAGACGACAACGGCTGTAGTAGTGACGGTGCACAATAATAAACGGCCGGTCTCGAATCGATAAAATTAAGGAACACGAGAAAAAGAAATGCAGATAAAAGCGGTGGATACTCTTGTACGCACCTCTAGAACCACACTCGATATGTATAGTTTTGAGAAAAAACGATTATTGAAGTTTATAACTAAGATTAATTTACAGAGTCAACCCAAAAAGTTAATGGCCTTTATAAGTGAACGCAAGCGCGAGCACCTAGAGGGGGGAAGACGGGGCATATGCCCCCCTCACGAAGTTTAAAATATAATTTAAATTATCGGATAATTTTGGTGTTTTGATGTTTTATATGCTCTTAAACTAATTCACAATCTAAATCCACACCACCCCACCCCGTAAAAACGCCACTGATTATAAATAAACGAGTACACGTGATTGGAAAACGGGTACGCGCACATATAATATACGGGCGGGTACCTGATTAGAATGTGAATTTTTTTACGTTTTTTTTTTTTTGTCGAAAGATAACCGGCGTGCGATTCGTTTCGAACGACAACGTTTTTGTTTTTATTTTTTTTACGCTAAACGGAGTATACGTCAACAAATACGAAAATACGAAGAAAATAAAGGGCTCCCAACGGTTAAAAAACAAGTACCTAGCGATCTTTTCGACGACGGACGGTCAAAAGCCCGAAAATAATAACGGTCGTCTAACGCGTCGATCTCGGTAAAACCGAAACTAAGTGCTAATATACCTGATATATATATATACTAAAGTATCTACACGTTTACGGTAACTATAACACACCTATGCACAATAATAATGTATACGAGTGTTATGCATGTCGTTTGATTGGTTTAATTTTTTTTTATGGTCCGTTGTAATAGAGTCGTTGGCACCAATTAACCTTAAAACAACGCCAAGAGACGGAAACGCAAGGCCATTTCCTTGTAAAAAAAAAAAATTGAGAAATGTTTTACACCTATAACACGTTCGTTTGCTTTTCGATTCGAATGTGACGAACGATTATTATTATCGATCGAAGATTCGGAGGGGGAAGGACACGAGCATTATAGCAGCTGCAGTCGTCCTACACGAAATATCATAACGCTGTTTAATTTTAAGATTTCAACAAAATATGTATGGATTAAACGGAAATAGAGAAACGGACCGGACACAAAACCGCGTTACTAATAGAAAAAAAAAAAGACAGACTCGTAAACAAGCACACTGAACTTTAGAGCTCTTTATTTAAAATTAAAAAAAAAAAAACGACAGTTAAAAATTTAATCGAATACGAAAATAACAAACACTACGGATTTACGACCATCGAGAACATTGATAACTCGCGCCGAGCGAAACGTACACGGCGACGGACGGCAATGTTAGTGTCGCCACTAAAAGACCCACGTGTGGGTTCAAAAACACATGCGCGTCGCGTTCTTGGCCGAATTTCACTGGGCCGTACATTGGCGGGCATACATTACGCGTCGCCGAACGTCCGTTACTCTGCACTGGCCACAAACCAGAAATCGTTATCGATCGATAGATACCACAAGAGTCTAAAACAATTATTGATTACGACAAATTAACAACGTAGCCGTAATAACAATTCATGCGGTAGACCGCGACGAGTCCTTGGGTATGCGTTTTTTTTTCTCCTCTATCTTGTGTATCCGATGATAACGTAGAATGATTAATCGTAATATTACAATATTTTTAGTATCGCTAATAGACAGCGAAATATTCTTTTGTCATCGAGTCGAGTTTAACCGGGCATCGCATAAAACACGCAAATTTAAATAATTTCTAGACAAATCGCAAGTTTGAGCCGAGAAAGTACAACGAGTAGGTACCCACGTGTTTATTTTTATACGGTAGGTCTACGATATTATAAACATAAAAAAAAATTTAATTTTTTATGGGTACACTTATTATTTACTATAAAAATAATCAGGGTCAGCTCGAGGACAGTGACAGTGAAAACGGAATTTATTGTTGTTAACACTACCTACTTATTTGTTTTAAAAACCTTCTACTAAGATTAATAATCCTTATAATAAATAATATGGTTACCGGGAACGTTTAAATGTTTACCTGTATAATAGTTAATACTCTTTGGTTGTTTTACATTAAAGAAAACCCAACAACTTTGGTTTAATTAAGGAAAGTTATATAATGTTGTTGTCTAACATAAGTACCCACTAGAAGTTAAAATAACCGAGTTATAGTAACTCTGAAAAAGTAATACGACACAAAAGTCTCTCAATATCAGGTTACAAAGAAATTAATCGCCTCTGTTACTAGATTTTCTTGATTTTAGAACAAATAAAATATGGTAACTGAAAACAAAAAAAATCCACAAAAATTCAAATATTTTCACTTCCAGTAAAATGTTTAATAAATATGTATTATTTTGGATATTACATTTGATACAGCAAATATACAAATGACAAAACATAAAATATTTAGTCGAATATTTAAAGAAAATATTTTTAACAAAGTGTTTACAATGCTTTGATTAAGTAGTAAGCACTGAATTCAGTTAGGCAGTTATAAATATTTATTCCTATACATTTTTAAATATTTAAAAAAATACAGAGACCGGATGTATGGTAATCGTGACATTTCGTACAACTCAACATATTATCATAATTATGAGTACCTATTATAACATATAGGTATCACACAGATATCATGGTTTTTAAACTTCAAATTAACTAGGTAACTATGATAAACAACCTTCAAAGAATGAAAACAGATAAAATACAATCGGTATTTTAAAAAAAATACACTGCATACACCTAAGTACCAATATACGGTACCCATTCAAATATCGATTAGCTGGTGCCTGTTCATAAAGTTAGAGAAATAATATTGTTACGCAAGACATTTCTTGCACCAATAATCTCAAGTATTTTTACTATTTATATGCACTAGCTTCAACAATAAAAATAAAATAATTATATCATGAGTTGTATATTCACATTAATCCTTATTAGCTATTGGTCTAGATACTATAATTATGAGAAATTATTCAAGTGTTTTACATAAGAGTAAATATGCTGTGTATTTATCCAGATAGGTATATGTATAACCGACATCAGACCCGACAACGTATGTACATATCAGTATGTACCTACCTATATAATAATATAATATTTAATCAACTAGGTATTGGTCGATTACTTTTAGGTAGTTTCAGAGGTATTTTTCATTTTTACAAATGTAATTATGCTGATAAAAATGTTGTTGGTTGAAAAATATTTGAATGAGATAGAATATGAAATTATGACTTTTTATGTCAACAGCTTGGTAGGGAGATAGGTACTTACATACCCAATTTATAATTATAATAGAGAATAAAAAGTGTATAACATGTTTCAAACTAAATGCATAAATATAGCAAAACATATTTTGTTTTCAAAATATAATATTGAAAAAGTACCTACTTTTAATAATACTTAAAAAGCTTTTATTTTGTAAACTGTTCAGTCTCCCATTAGGCATTGAACTTTAGAAATTGATGAATTTTAATTTGGTTTAGATAGGTACCTAACCTGTATAGATTAATATAATACAATTTTAATATATTCAGACAAATTTTACAGTTGTTTAATTTAGTTGCCTAGTTTCAGTGAAAACTACCAACGCTGAAAAATATGTTGTAAATACCTATTTATCTAAGCAATTGGCTAATTTTTGTGAGGGGTAAGTAATTTGATTATTATAATTTATTTGAAACATTTACTGACTAACCTTGTTAAATTAATATTAGTTAAAACTTTGGACAGCTATTATTGAAATAGGTTTTTTATTAAAACTGAATTCAACATAAATTGTTGTAACAAAGTAACTATTAATAAATATTATAAGTGTTAGCTGTGTAAAGGACAAGGTAATCAGAGCCATAGGAGATTTTTATGGTAACCGCTTTTGTACTGACCTGTGGCCCCAGGGTAATCAACTTCTACATTTCCAATGTTTATTGTAGGCAAATACTTTCAAAATACATGCTTAGTTTTACTAAAAACGTTGAAATGCAAGAAAAATTATAAGTTAGACAATAACTTTATTATTGGCTATCCTACTTACAATAAATCCATGTAGGTACGCACCGTCAAAAGTATTAAAACATTTTAATACTATGTAGGTACTCAGCTATTAGAATAAATTCACGACCATAAAATGATAACATCAAAAGGGTGAAATATAGATAAGAGAGATTCAAATTTAAAACGTACGCATTTTAATCTCTACAGAAATCCGAAGGATAACCCAATTATCTACACTACAACCTCGACTATAGTCGCAATAGTAAGAAACTCAAAAATAATCTAACGGGCGTACCAAGAAAATAAAAATGAGAAAAAAATGTAGGGTAGGTACCCAATACAACTTACTTTAGGCTTGTAAAACCATTTACGAATGGACTCCATATTTTCCGGTAGGACGACTACGGCGGAGTGAGAAACTTCCTGGAGGACTGGAACTGAAAACGGTGGGTACTTGAGAGTGGGCACACCAAGGAGCTATTGCAGTATATACCCCTCGTAGGTATTCAACAGTAATCGGACCCTGTCAAATGACGACCGCGGACGACTGGGGCTGCGAAAACCTATCCCGCGAAATTTCGGCCGTACCGTACGATTGACACATGTCGACCAGCCGACAACGTGCCGCCAATTAATTAGAATATTATAAACACGATCGGCCGCGAGTCGTTACGTCGATCGCATCTCGTCGTTTTTGACGACAGTCGGAAAACGTACAAACAACAAAATAATAATACTGAAACGTTAACAGAAGAACCAAAATTAGTAAACGGGATATTGTTGCCGCCACTGACGGCGGACACCGGGACACGAATAACGAACGACGGCAATAATAATTTATTGTCGTTATCGGGCAAGGCAAAGAATTAAACAGCCGCACATTGGCCCGGACGGACGCGGAGAGCACCTACCACAAGTGACGCGAGCACAGGACGAAACGCTGATCGGTACTGAATTGTGTCTTGTGACAGTGAACTGTGAAGTTACTGAACTACGCACACACGCCGAGCGTCGGCAGCGGGGGTGGGTGCCGCGGCCGCGTAAAAAGTAAAACGCCGCCCATAGACACAATGATATTATCGCGGACCGCGGCCGCAGTGATGCACGGCGCGCGGACGTGATAACGACCACGTTATCGTTCGTCACTCCCTCCGCCTCGCCCCTCCGCTTTTCGAGATACGGTCCGTTTTCCGCCAACTATTGTTATTATTACGCCGCGGTTTTTTGCGTTTCGTACGCTGGTACGCCTGTGGCGTGTCGCGAGCGTACGGCCCGTGGCGATTCAGCCGGCAGATGTCGCGCGTTCCACCACCGCCGCATCTGCCACCACCGCAGTGTCCACCAAAATTTTCTCTACCGGTCTACGAACGATATCCTTTGGTTAAAAGTCATCGGCAAAACACGTCCCCCCACCCTTTTCCGTAGTTACGAGTGACGTGTAATTCACAGTTCAACAAATATTAAAAATAATATTAATTAATTATTAACGATAATTTAATATTAATAATAACAATTTGCTCCCCACCTCTGAATCAGTGGAACATTTGAATGTTGGTTTTGGGTATAGTTCACATTCCCGCATCTTCTGCTTTGTCTTTATCAAAATTCACAATTATTTGGCGTTGGTCATCGCCCTCGTCTTAAACTTCCACTTGACCCGAATGCCCGATCTTCCATATCATCCTCGCATGCACAGGCCGTCCTCATATCATGCTTATTATAAATTATTCAAAACAATTCTAAACGGAGTTACGTGGAACATTATTTGATAAATTAAATTGAAAATTGTATTAATTTTCAACTTCATAATAAATAAATTACAATAATTATTGTTTAAAACGAATTTAATCATTTAATTTAACTAGAATTTGAAAAAAAAAAAACGATTTTATTTTTAAAAAAATTACTAGTTCTTTTGATGAGAGCAAATCGCCACCATTCAAATGCGCTTCTGTCTTGAATTTTTGATTATAGAACCTTTACCCGCATATAGGCGTTAAACACAAAAAACGTGTCACTTTCAAAACGAATATTTAAAAAAATAACTGTATTTTATTTTTTTGTTCATATTTTCATCAGAAAAGTCACGGACACAGGTATAGTATAATATTATATTTTATCACCGGTTCACACGCCACTGATCTACGTCGGAAGTCGAGATTTCTGTCGCCGCAAAAAAACAGTCATCGTCATCATCACCTACATAAAATATGCATATTATTTAAACCGTAGGTTTTTTAGTGTTTTATGACTAACGGTTTTTGAAACACGGCTAAAAGTAGAAAATAATAATAATATTATATTATAGTTAATTATATCTACCAATACCTATGTAGGGTCGGTTGTATTATTATTATTTTTTTTTTTTAATGCCCGTGCGTACTTATATTAAACAATTCACTCAGTCGTGTACCCAATACGCCGCGGCGCGCCGTTTCGACCGGATTACGTTCGTTCCCTCCTCCCCTATATTATTACGAAACGTCCGGATATGACGTTCTGTCGAGCATAATATTTAGCCGGTTCCTAATAATAATAATGGTAAAACATATTTGGTTGGTATATAATATTGTTATAGGTACCTATATATAGGTGGTACCTACTTAATCATTCAATAGCCGTGTCGCTGTATACCAACTCCCCCTTCTATTCGTCAGTGCAAATTAATTTTATCGTATATATAATACTATGGCCGACGGAAGGGATCACGATAAAATATTATAGTGTAATTAATAATAATATATAATTCAACTATCGTTCCATAGTCAAATCCAAATGCACCAATTCAATTTTAATACCTCCATACCTCCATACAACATTGCACGAGCATTAAATGTTTACCACGGTACACGCCATTTCACTCAATTTCATGTCGGCACATTTGATAAATAATTTCATTTTAAAGTTATTATCGTTATTACTATGCATGATCAAATTATAATTGTACCTACCTAATCTGGCATATTATAAAGGGCACGTGTAGGCATGATAACGACCCATTTGCAGTCAAATTTGGGGGGGGGGAAATAAAAAAATCTCAAAATATGTGCTAAATAAAGGTTTAAATTTTAATTTATTTAAATTATTAGTTAATATTATTTTTTCAAGGGGCATGTATACCGACTTGCCCCTCTTCATGGGTACCCAATGCTCAAGTATGTACTCGAAAAGTGTAATAGTCAATAGCAACAAATAGCGTAATGCTATTTAGTGGCACAACCAGAGAAGGGTCCACGAGTCTGGAGCCCCTTAGACCATGTTGGAGGTACCTATTTTCCTATAATAATTATTATGTTTGACAGAAGTGAAAGAATGGAATCGAGTTGGTTCGGCTCCCGTAATAAGAAAAACTCTTAAAAGGTACGTATACAAGGGTGGAATGTGAGGGTAAAATCCACCCTCTAAGCCTTTTTTAAAATGTATTAAATAGTGTTCTAAGTGCAAGGGCGTTATAATGAAACATAAAAAAAACGGCTAATATTTTTGTAAATTTGTATTTTTTCACAACAGAGAGTACATTATTACATTATTTTAGATTCTGAGCATAGCGGAGGGATCTATTGGTTTTAATGTGATGGGTGGGTTTTTTTTTCTTTTTTTCCGTAAACAAATTTCCGAACAGAAATATTACTCCGATGCATGCAGGTTTTCAAAATAATTGAGAAATACCCGAAGGAAAATTGTAGGTAAAATCACAAATATTAACGGCGTGTCGGCGCGCTGTGTTACCGATTTTATTGTTTTTAATTCTTACAACTTGTTTTCCACCAAAAATATTGCTCCAATCGAAAAATGATTAGAGATCTTTTTTGTTTCATTTTTAATCTGGTTGGTGAGTAAGAAAAACGTTTTTTCTCTGTAGATTTTTTTTAATAATTGAGAAAAACCGGATTTTGACGAAAATGAAAACTGATAAATTTACGGCACTGTTCATTGTCAAAATGATCGAGTTGTAGTAATTATAGGTAATTACAACGATATAAGATACTGGAAATTAATATGCTCTTACGTAATTGCGTACTTATTACTATTTATTTTATAATTTTATAACTTTTATTATTTTGTTCATTAAAATAATTTAATTTTGAACTTTATATGTTCGTATACAAGTGACTTCTTCAATTTCACTAATATTGTAATTGAAGAGTCCAGTACAACAACCGGTGGTTTCAAAGTAAGGAAAACATGTTGCATATTTCGATAAAACAAACAGTCATATCCGATTATTAAATACGGTGTTATTAGCAAAATATACTAAACTGGTTTTAAATTTCAATGCAAAAACCTGGTATGTCCGGACTCATAAAAATCATTGTCAAATTGATAAAAAATGGACATGGCTGGTTGTTGCACTGGACCTTTCAATAATTAATGAATATGGATAACTTAAATTTCAAATAGATTTACTGGCATTCCGTAAATACCGTTTAGGTACATGAACTCTAACAACCAATCCAATGGTAAAATATAGTACATAACTTCTAAATAATCATAATAGTTGATATTATATTCAACAGTTATGAACTAATGACTAATAAAGTAGTCATTACTGATTGATATCATATTATTGTATGATAATTTATGATAAATTAATATGAAAATCGTTAAGTATCGAATACAAAATTATATTTAAATATTAATTACAAGTGACCCCAATACCTTAAATTTATTACTTACTTTTGACTTACAAATATGCTATATTTTCCTTAAAATATATCTAAATGAATTTCAAAGTATAATTTTTAAAATTTGATGAATACTACGTCACTGTATGGAGTAGGTAAGTCGTACATTTTTAAGTCGACGCATTTTGGCGATGAGCAAAATGCAAAATGCATTTGCCTTCAGTGGTCTCAATCTCTAAATGACGTCAATGGTTTGAGCGCCACTGATCAGCTGCCGTCGTTATGGTTGTTACGACGGTTTACACCTGGTGTCGAGATAATATGGAACAGACAATTATTGTTATTATATATGTATAGAACCAGATGACCCCGTAAACGTACATACTGAAGGCCATGCAGCGAGAGTTCTAGCTCTCACCCCCTCCCATATTACAATCTATCGCCTCCCCCGCCGTCGCGAGCACGCGGATATTGCGGTTTTTTTTATTTTTTTTTTTTTTAGTAAAATGAATATACTTACATCTTTATCGTATCGTTATAATAAATTAAAATAATAATGCAAGACGTGGCGGTACCTACGGCCTACAATTTGTCGAATACCAGCTAACTGATTTTGCGTCCGTTTTTAAATTAAAGAATATAATCGGTATACTTATCATAATATATACGTTAGACTTGAACACTTAAACTGGAATAATTGATCCATCGCAAAACACCTTAGAAAAAAAAAATTACTATTTTACCGCACCACATGTATAAGTATTTTATGTACGTGCTGGGGTTTTTTCTCGAAATCACGTGCGACCGACTGAAATAATATAATGCAATTATTATTTTATTATTTACATTCAGAACTCTTTAGATTCAGCTCCGGGCCCGGCTGACTAGCGGCGTTTATTATTATATAGGTACTCTGGTACTATACACATTATGTTTGTTATTCATTGACAATTACGAGAGAAAAAAAATTAAAAGCTCCCCTACTGATTAAGTAGTAAGTCCTTAGTCGTGCAGTGCCTGCACGGTTGCATCTATAGTAGAATATAGCTTAACTTAAAATATCTTCTAGATTTTACTAACAATATATAATATTATTATGTTCCCTCACAGTGTATAATAATGTACAGCACAGATGTACGTATGGATGCGGCTAATAAGGCTATAGCCACATCTGAGACTTTTCTTATAGATAGGTGCTTATAAATAAAAAAAGCCAATAACTCATTTTTTTTTTTTTTTTAAAAATCAGGCATTTTTTACTATTTTAGAAGTATTAACCATGAAGGAACATCATCAAATAAAATAATCCATAACTGGGTACATTGGTTAAGTAAATGTGATCGTTCAATTATTTTTAATTAATTTTCAATCATTCTTAAATTATTTTTATTATTTAATAAGCTGTTCTTGTGAACGTTTTTTTCAAACATTGAATAAAGTGAATACAAAGTTACGGTTCCTACGATGAATCAGGAACCACTGAACGCGTCATTATATTACATATTTATTGAAAAAGAGGTACTATAATTCAATCAATTATGAATGTTTAAGAATTATAAAAGTTCAAGATTTCACTAATAGGAGAATGAAGATTAATGCTTTAAATAGACAATTGTAATATTTCACATAATGATTAATAATTATAGCTATTGGCTACAAAAATGAATTCACATTACAAGTTTTTAAAAAATATGGACAATGATTTTTCGAAAAATAATCAATTTTTTTTGTGAGTGATACAGAGGTGTATTAAAAGCAAAAATCAGCTGTACTATATATAGATAATATTGTAGTTACATTTTCCTCATAATATTGTACTGTTTTTGACATCATTGATATTGGGACATTTTGTGGCAGATTATTTAAAAGAAAAGTAAATGGTAAAGAAGTACCTAAATTACCATTTAGGTACTTCTTTTAGGTAGTATGGAAGAAAAACATTTAGGAAGTCTTGACCCCAGTGGGTTTTTTAAAAATCTTTCGGAGTTTAGTTAATGTTTACTTTGACTATTGGTAATTATAGCCCAACCTTCTCCCTCACAATTTGTCTTATTTTACCCGTTACTGTAATGAACTAATATAAGATACATCCAGCGGCGGATTCTGAATTTTAACCAGCCCGAAGAGAAAATTTTGTTTCACCGGCCCAATTATTTGTTTTATATATCTGTGGACACGGCACATTTAACCACCTTATCATAGTTTCTCAGACAATTATAACATTTTAAATCGTGATCGTTTTTCTCCTCATTATCAAAGACATATGCACAATTTATCATGGGTAAGTATAAAATTAGTTTTATGATGACAGGACCGGTCATAGAGTCATGACCGGGCTCCAAGTGGCACAATTCGCCACAGAATATATCCATTGCAGTTGAAACATCAGTCGTAATGAATCACATTTGATAAAAATACATAAATTATAATACTAGTATAACATGATAGGCACCTAAAAAATATATTAGTAGAGTTCGTGTAATCAAGTAGAATTTTTTATCGAATCCATAATAAAATATTAATTAATATGCACATGCGTGTATTGTGTTTTAAAATTATTATATAATATTTAGTGTATATTATAGTCTCGTGTTTTTTTTTTCTAATCGGGATAAGAATAATACAATATAATAATATAATAAATTATTATTTACAACACGTTTGAATTTCAATAAATAACATTATTACGTGACGTACCTATGATTATGTTTACATAATAATATTGTTATTGTTATGATTGGCGGGAGTCGAGAGAGACGATGGCAATGGCTAAAATGTGTTTTAGTACCTAAAATATAAAATACGAACACACGCACATAGTTATATTGGTAGTGTTTGTATTTTAGTTATTTTACTCAGAGTAAACTAACAGTGATACATCAGAATTTATAATCAATATGATTGAAACGCTAACAGACAATTTGCGATGATGTAAAAGGTATTCAAATTTGATAATTATACACGACTGTCAAAGAAAATGAATACACGTGAGATTGAACTATAGCTTTTCTTTGTTTAGTCGCAGTGTTACGCGCGAACGACTACAGATCACTCTCGTAGTCAATTATTTATATTATTATAATACAATAATATTAGTAATATTAGTTAAAATTTTATGAAGAATATAGACGAAATTTGAGTATCGTTCGATAGCGAATTTTCACGGTTTTTTCAATTATAAATTGAAAAAAAGTGATATATCTAAGCCGATTTTCGAA